CGGAACAAGAATCCCCAAGAGAGCGAGGAGACGCCGCAGGGGTCAAGAGAGTTGTAGAGAAGAACAGTAAGCGGCGACAAAAGACGGTGAGGAGAAGGGGAAACGGAATCGAGGTCGAAATGAGCAAAGCCGAGACGGGAGGTGTATCCGAGGGAAGTCCGTCACAAATCGGGGACAGATGCAGCCAACGCAGGAGCTAAAAAAGGGGGGGGGGGGGGGGGACACGGGCTGTCCCTCGGCTGTCCCTCGGCCGCACCTCGGCTGTCCCTCGGCTGTCTCTCGGCTGTCTCTCGGCTGTCTCTCGGCCGCCTCTCGCCTCGAGCGCATCTCCGAGCTCGGCCACCAGCTCGAGCGCCTCGTCATACTCCACACGCCACCCGGCAACCTCCGCAGCAAGCAGCTCCCCGGCGCGTTTGTCAAGTCCAACACCCTCTTCCTCATCTTCAGCAGCCGCCTCCCCGCCGGACGCCATCGCCTCCATGTCGCGCAGCATCTGCTCGGCGGTAGAGCCGCGCGCCTTCTCGGCGGCCTCGTCTGCAGCGGCGGCGAGGAGCCGCTCCTCCGCCTTGAGCCTCTCGGCCGAGACTCCGGAGCCTATGCGGGGAGATGTGGGGAGATGCGGGGAGATGCGGGGAGATGTGGGGAGATGCGGGGAGATGCAGCGGAAATGTGGGGAGATGTGGCGGAGATGGGGAGATGCAGCGGAGGTGTGGGGAGATGCAGCGGAGTCCGTGCCCTCTCGGGCGCGGGTTCGAAGACATGCGTCTAGGCGTCCCGGTTCCAGGCGTCCGGTTCCAGGCGTCCGGCTCCAGGCGTCCGGCTCCAGGCGTCCGGCTCTAGGCGTCCGGCTCCAGGCGTCCGGCTCTAGGCTTCCGGTGCCGTCATCGTCGCCGAGGGCGCGTCCGACGGCGCCGTCCTCGAGAAGGGCCGCGAGCTCGCGCTCCCGGTTCTGCGCGTCGAGAAGCCGCCGGACCAGCGCCTGCGGAGTGGGAGGAGGGGCGGACGGGGAGGAGGGGTGGCGGGGGCGGTGGTGTGCGGACGGGGAGGGTGGCGGCGGGGAGGGAGGCGGGGAGGAGGGTGGTGGCGGGCTGGGTGGGGTCGGCGGTGGAGGCGGCGGCGGCGGCGGCGGTGGCGGCGGCGGTGGCGGCGGCGGAGGCGGAGG